TGCTTCTTCAGGACTAACGAATATGCAGAAGGCCTTTTCGCTACGTTGCTTCTTCAGGACATCTTTTTATGGAATGTACCAAGAGGATGGCGTGGCTCTCCAGTTGTCACTCGCTTCTAACTCCTGTATCACCTGCTCGTGATTCCCGTAGTCTACCCTCATCCCGTTTTCTTTTTCGCTCATTTTTATTTCTTTTGATGGTTGCAATTTCTAGAATTACCGTTCCTACTTTTAGTCCATGTATTCATCTTTTATTTCAATTCGTTTGGTGTTATGAAAAGATCACATTTTAGACATATTTTTAAAATGATTTCTCAGTTCGCGCCGTGACACTGCTCTTTTGAAGAATCACCGCCATAGATGAATTCTTTATTCCATCATTTTACGTTGCACACAATTTTTTTTTATTTTTTTTATTGTTTTATCAAGTAATGACTCACGGGTCTCAGTATATTTTATTATGATTCTAGACGGGTTTTAATTTATTCATAAACACCTAGTTCGTGTTTCGTAGCCTTTTACTCATGATTTTGGTATTTATGTTTGTAATGGATCATTTCGAAAACTGTCTCATTTGATATCAATTTGTTATTCTTTAGAAAATTGATTCGCAATGTTGTGACATCAGTGTCAAATGAAACTTTGTGTCACATCCCCTTTCTGCAAATCTACATCACAGGTTGTACTGACTTTTTATGTTACTTTCCTAGGTCTAAGAATGCTGGACGTGGTATGTAAGCATGGTCGAAGGCAACTGAAATCTGAACGTTAAGTACATGAAGTTGAAATAAAGTATAAATCCAGTGATGTCCACTGTTAATACTAGATCTTTATACATTTCATTTTATCATTCTAAATCTTTAAGCAGTGCATATCTGTAACGTAACTTATTCTTGACTTTTAATACTGTTTACCTTTTATTTACGTTTATTTGTAATTTTACTTTTATGTTGAACTTTTACTGATATTTTACAGACTCCTTTACTTTGCAGCCATGTTATTTCCTCTTTGAACTTACTTTTCACTTGTGTTTGTCTACCTTTGGGTAATCATTGTTCTGCCTTACTGCTTACGGCTTCTACTTCCATTGACGCAACTATACTTCATGCCACACTTATTTCTAACACGCTTTCTGCGCCTACCGCTCGTGCTACTACTACTGCTAACACTACTGCTACTGCTATTGCTACTTCTACCACTACTGCTATTGCTACAGTTACTGCTATTATTACCATTATTACTATCACTACAGCGGAAGAACCCTAGAGAAAAATGAAAGCAATAATTTTGGATCTTATCAAGGGAGTATTTCAAAAGGAGACAATTCAAGTTCTCACCTGGGGCGGTATTTATCAAAATACTGAGGATATGAAGGACGAAATTTCATGAATATAGTACTCAACTTTGAGTACATAACCTGAGTCTTAACTATCAAATTACTCAGCGTCCCTAAGTGCACTCAACTGGATGATGAGGCTAAGAGTGCGACGGGGGACTCAGCACGTCGTGCCGCACTGAAGTCAATGCAACCCCAATGGAAGCAGCACAACAGCGAGTGAGGATACGAACTGTGATGTAATTCCGGAAAAGAAAAGATGTGCTGAACAGCAATAGGGATCACGAGTAAAAGAAACTGTTCAGATTAGATCGAGAAGGATTAATGTGTGGCTGACATGATCAGAGGTCAAATAAGCCGACAAATCGAACAAGTGCTATCTCTGCAGAAATGAAAGTGCTAGTGACCCTTCGTTCTTTTTAGCAACCGGGAAAATACAGGTGTGCGATGTGGACGATCTTGGCATATCCCAACCATCAGTTAGTAAGATGGTCCATGAAACGTTAGATGCCCTCGTATCGCCAGCATTACAAGCAAGGTTTTAAAGTTCCCTACCCGGCCAGAAGACATCCGGCAAAACCAAGCAGAATTCATGGAACAATAAGGGTTTACAGGAGTGATGGGTGTGACTGATGGCATTCATATTAGGATCATAGCGCCCAAGGAACATGAGGCTGAATATATAAACAGGAAAGGAACTGCTACAGCACTGATGTCCAGATAGTGTTTGATGCAAACTACAATATTATGAATGTTATAGCTAAGTATAAGAAGGAACGAGAGTGCCCTTAAACAAATGTTTGCTGGAATGTCCCCAGTGGCTATCTTCTTGGTGACAGTGGTTAGCCGTGACAACTTTGGCTCCTAACCCCACACGTCCAACCCTGGAATGAACCACAGGAAGCCTATATAAGGTACGGTCTAAGTCGTGCTACGGGTAATATTTTAAGTATTGCCGTTAACTTGTTTTATCTTAATTAATCCAACCTTACTGATTTATCAGCTCAGTTTTTGCAGTTCTTTATGCACTAGGCAGTAGAAACCTAATGATTCTTAACTTATATTCAATACCATTTAAGTTTTCCATGATCTTTACGGTTGATAAACTTTTTGTTGGATTTCTGATCCTGATATAAAATATTTTTGTACAGATTATAATCATCCATTTTCTCTGCAGGGGACACAAGCCTCCAAGATCCCTGGTCGAGAGAGGAACTGGCCAGCTGAAACGTAGGTTTCACGTGCTACATAGAGAGAGACGGATGAGCCCACTAAAACAAATCGTTTTGGAGTGTGTTGCTCTTCACAACCTGTGTAAGGAGAGGAATTTGGATGTGCCATTGCAACAAGACTTTGCTGGTGAAGAAGCTGTTGACAACCCAGCAGATGTCGAGGCCCTTCCACCCTAGAAAATGGTTCCATCTTCAGGATTCATATTGTCAACCTTCATTTCACGTAAATCAAAGTCCGACAGAATGCAAACTATATTTAGGTGTTGAAAAGCTAATTCATCTCATGTTTTGAAAGCGATGACGTATCAGAAGAAGCTTTCCATTAATATGAATCTTTTCATTTTACAGGCCAGAAGGTTAGAAAAATAATAGAAGTTCCTCTTGCACATGAACTCAACTCCTCGTGATCCCCGGAAGTATATAGATATCCAACACAAAACCTAAAAATGAACTTTTATTTCTCCATTCAGGCAATTTATTTCCCTTTCCGGATAATACTAAGAGCTGCAATAAAGACTAATGTAACTTTAAGAAGGTAAAGATATGTTACACAACTACAATAATTAAACTTACAGCCTAATGTAAAGACGAAAGTGCTACTTTAATCAAGGTTTTATTGTTGTTAACATAAAACAGTTCCAATGCCTTAAGGGAAGCTTCTAGAGCCTTAGCAGCAGCTGTTTGTGCTCTATAACACTCTCCAATAAGAGCATTTAGTAGCGGTGTCAATGAGCGAGTTAGAAGAGGCAAGGCTGGAAATGCTGGAGGTGTTGAGGCTTCTGCTGGAAAGCCTATTTCTATGGGCGATGGTTCGCTGAAACAGCTGATGTTGCTCCTTCCAGTGGATCTTCAAAATAGAACGTTACACTCTCGTTGCTGCTGCTGAAATTGGTGCAACAAGGATTATCATTAATTATTGGGTAATATAGAGGTTTTTAATGATCCAAATAAGAACAAAATTGAAATCTAAAGGTATATACTACCAAATATAATCAAGCTTCAATTCTAATTGTATATACTAACCTTTTTAACTGCATAGTTTAGGCGTAGAGCTAATTCATTCATTAATCTGTACAGACTTTACTTGCCTGACTGTGATCAAATGTTCAACAAAGACCCGGCCTTAGAATATGTTAACATGAATTGACAAAAGCTGGAAACCACTGCCCAATAAAACCCTACACCAAAGCATAGGACACGCACATGGGCGCTGGTGATGACTTCTCCAATCAAAGTTGAGAGTCCTCAACTTCTACGATTCATTTCGCCTTTCATGTTTGTTATCCTCCCCTTTTCCATGATGTCCCTGTCTTCACTGGTTACTTTCTATCTTTTTTTCCTGACCAATGAGCCAATCTAACTCCATGTCACAAATTGGGTGTGCCCTTCGGCCACTCCCCGAAGTGAGGGTTGATGGAGTTCTCTGCCTCCCCTTCTCCCAGGAAACATCCTCTTCGCCTCGGTAAATATGGCAATATAGAGCTGCATCCATTCGGTAAAGAATAACCAAATACCTTTATATCTCGAGACACCAAACTTTCCCTCCATTCTGTCTACTGTTTAAGGGCCTGCTTTCTCTTCACTTTTTTCGGCATTTGGGGCACTTGAGAGGCTCATATACCAAGCAGTGATAGTAATTAGAGTGTTTCTTCCGCATAGCCACTGCATTGTTTTGAAATAACCTCGAACCTCCGCAACACTGACAGCGAAGCATGTCTCACCAGCGTTTTGTCAGTGAATTGTGATTTCCAGTTCTTAAAAGTCCCATTGGCGAAATCGCGCATGTGCAGTAGGTTTTTGTACAGAATAGTGTATATAACAATCTGAACATGTTAAGAAGTTAAATGAAAATAAATGAATTGAATTATGAAAAGCAGGCATTGAAAATCATAAATAATATTTTTCACAAGTGCGTAGTATTATATGAACTAGTTAACGAATCGCAGTCATGAGTTTTGCGGTCATAGTAATGTTTTCCTTCGCGATGTAAGGCTGGCGAGGGACAAAAAATGGGTGGATCTTCTCTCTTCTCTGTCATGTGACTCTTTTATTATCGATTTGCTCACATTTTGCCATAGATGCAAAGTGTCTCAGTTTTCATCAAGGTAATCATTCCATACATTTCTTTTTTACTGTAACCCTGATTATCATCTACCAACTAATAATGACGATGATAACCACCTAACAACAATATCAATGACAATAGACAATAATAATCAATTTTACAATATTAGGGCGATAATATCAACATCAGTCGTGATATGTGCTAAATTCTTCCTTCATGTCATGTCATCTTGAGACTAAAATGTAAAACCTGACTCGGCAACTCTCTCGGTAGGCATCTTAAAGGATAATCCTCACTTCCTTTAGGACAAGGAAGTTGTCGATGATGTTAGGGTCCTGTGCTGTTCGCCTGATGTGGACGTAGCGGCCCCGCACGGAATAGCCAAGGGTGAACTCCACGCTGCAGCTGAAAGAGGCAGGGAGGGTGAGATATTCCCAGAAGGGCAGAAGCGTCTGTGGACGGCAGAGAGAAAGAGGACATCGACACGTTCGGAGGAAGGACAGCAATACGAACCAGCTGCTGTTGTCATAAGGCCCGATGTAATGCCCGAGGACGGTGTAGCCAGTTGCGACTCCCGCCACCGGAGCCTCCGCCCCGACGCTCACCTCAGGGAGAAAGACATGTAGGTAGATATTTACGATATATATATATATATATATATATATATATATATATATATATATATATATATATATATATATATATATACAGATAGTTAAACAGATAGATGGATAGACAGGTATGTATATATAAGTTTAATTGTACATATGCCGTGGCATCTTCGTCGTCAGAGCTCGCCCCTGATTATGGCCATCACAACATCAATCAACCCTTCGCCGATCCCACTGCAAGCTTCTGTCGCGGCGAAACTTGGATGTTCATATTTACACGAATTGTCAAAAGCCCGAGATAATGATAAGTTACCCCTACAGGATAAAGTATGGGATACCTTCAAAGAAAATGATGATAATGGGGGACTATTTTAATTTAGGGGGATTCGTTTTTCAAGTCTTCTTTGTATTCAATTTTAAATGCGATTCCACAGTCATTTTGATATTCTTGTATATCAATTTTATTCAGTTTACATCTTTATTTTAACATTTTCGTTACTCGTTTTTTTCACAGTTTTATCATTTGGTCCTTAGTATTTCTCTTATCAACGATTTTTACTTCTTATAATGAATTTTGTGGGTTAATTTTTAGACATAAGGATGTTTTCTGTCAATCTCTCGAGGAGTTTTATTTCTTAAAATTCAAAACCTAGAGGAGAACCGTCGCCCAAGTAACTAGGAGAGCTTCAAAGTTTACTTCGCGACCAAGATCGTAACGGTCAGGTCTTCTGTCTGAGGTCTGCTTGAGGAGTGGTCGGAGCGAGGAGGTCCGAGAGACTGAGATAAGCGGTCGAGTATGCATGGGTTTAAACAGGTCGTAGTAGGCCGACTGACGTAATTAGGTCAACATTAGGGAATCCCGGTGCTTTGTTATCATGTGTTCTGTGTTATATAAATATATATATATATATATATATATATATATATATATATATATATATATATATATATATATATATATATATATATATATATATATATTTATATTAAAGAACCCGCCCCCATGGATCACCCTTTATTTTTTTTTCAGTTAATTTTAACTAAAATCTTATATATACCGTATTCACCCTGGTTAGAGCATGAGTGTTTCCTAGAAAACAGTGAAAAATGTGAAAGGAAAAGAAAAAGCAAATGAAAATAACTTGTAAAGTCAAAAGGATCAGTGATTTGCAAATAATAAAAAATAAGAATCTTTCTTCGCTTTCTGGCCCTAATGTGCACATTGGCTACGGAGACTTCGAAGTTGGTTCTCCTGAGAAGTTGACCCTAATAACACAGAAATCTGAAATGTAAAGAAGGAACTAGACAGAAACGGTAAGCAAAGAAACACGAAACCCAGTGATAGACCCTCAGTAATAACAATGAGAAAAAATAAATGAATGAGATGAATTAAAGACCATCACTATTGAAATAAGAACTTTGAATGGAGAGAAAATGACTTATTAAATTATTAAAGTAGACATTATACTAGGATTAAAGTACTGTCATAACGTTTGATTCAAGTTAACGGGGTTTATTCACCCGAGGATTTGCTTACCAAATCAGAATAGGCATGGACACAGGGTGTCCATGCCTATTCTAAAGGAAAAACGAGTGAATTAGCCATTAACCCGCTCAATAACTACCCCGCGCACAATGGCGCTATTTTAAGATTGTTACAGAGGGAATTCCATTTAAACGTTTGTTGTGAATGATTATGGAGGGATTTACGCCTAAATAAAACGTTCTCTGCCGTTCAAAGAACCTTTTGTTGGCCGAAGCATCAAGAAAGTGATAACACGCTTCCTTCAGTCGTGCCCCCCCCCCCCCCCGTGGAACGATAATGATTAGCACAGGAGAATAAAGAGTCTGGAATGAGACAGTGGAAGGGAAAGTAATGTTGAGTTAAGAGCATTCTAATTACTCCTGATTTAAAGAATCAAGACTGGCGAGTGTGAGGTGTGCTCGCGTGCCCGACCGCCCTCTCGGTGTAAACACGGTTACCAACTCTGTCATACACGTACTCCACACGCATACACGCACACATACACCTTCTGACTTTCCGCACACTTTCTTGCACTCGTATTCACACGCACACATACGCGCTCCAACACGCAAATAAGTTAGTGGTGGCACCTGGGGTGTGTGAGCTACGTGGAAAGACATATCCAATTAAAAGCTACTCTCTAACTGGTGTCACCTCCATCGCAGGTCGCCCGCTTGCTTCCCGCGCACGCCTCACGCGGGAATCACATCTATTACACCTCAAGGGATCAGTTTATCAGGGATGTAACCAAGTGCTGACTTGCGCCCCATGCTAGCATCGAGGGATCTTTGGCCACTGAGAATACTTAGTTGAAACAACTACACACGCACACCAATATATAGGTGTGTGTGTATATATTTGAGTTCATATGTATATATGTATACGTCTCGCTCTCTTTCTATATATATATATATATGTATATATATATATATATATATATATATATATATATATATATATATATATATATATATAT